TTTCGCATTCAGCTTAGATCTTTCTGAAGGTCTCATAATTCCTCTCTTGCTTATCTGAACAGTAGCCAACCCAGGCATACATTCATACGTGCATACAAAATTATGTAGATTTTTTTGTGGATTTTTATATATATATACACACACACACACATACATAAATATATAGTATCAAACTATACCTCATATCATTCATATTGCCATTTTCATGTCTTTAAGATCTTTCTACCACTATGGAAACAGTACGGAGGTTCCTCAAAAAACTAAGAATTGATCTACCGTAGGATCTAGCAATCCCTCTACTGGGTATTTACCCCAAAGATTTGAAAACCTATATATGAAAAGATATTTGCATACCGTTGTTCATAGCAGCATTATTCACAGTGGTCAGGATATGGAAGCAACTGAAGTGTCCCATGATAGGTGACTGGCTAAAGAAGCTGTGGTACATGTATACAATGGAATATTACTCAACCATAAGAAGAAATGAAATACTGCCATTTGCGACAACATGGATGGACCTTGAGATAATCATGCTAAGCCAAATAAGCCATACAGAAAAAGTCGAAAATCACATGATATCACTTATATATGGGATATAAACCTAAAAGCAATGAATGAACAGGACAAACAAACAGAGACTCATGGACATGGACAATGGACTAGTGGTTATCAGAGGGTAAGAGGTGGGGGAGGAGAGGGAAGGTAGACGAGGTAAAGGGTGTCAAACATGTGGTGACAGAAAGAAATCTAACTGTTAAAGTATACAACTGAAACTTATTGGATTTCGTTAACCAATGTCACCATAAAAAAATTAATTAAAATATTTTTTAAAAAAGATTTTCCATATCAGTATATATTATATTTATGTTGCGATCTTTTTCCTATATAAAAATTCCATAGTAATATCCTTGTACAGGCTCCTGGTTCATAGATGCGAGTATTTCTCTATGGTAGTATTTCTCAAATCTTCACCTTAGAATAATCCAGAGATCTTTTAAAATACTGCTGCCCAGGCTCCCCAGTCTCTCCCTCCACTAGACCACTTAAATCAGAATCTCTGAGAGTGGAGCTCAGGCATGAGTATTTAATAATCTCCCCAAGTAATTTTACTATGCAACCAGAGTGGAGAATCACTACTAATTATGAAGAATAGGAATGGCTGAGTTGAAGAGTATATGCATTTTACATTTTGAACTCATTTTGTAAATGGTTAAGTTCTATACAATTGCAAATTATGTGATATTATCATTTCTTCTGCTCTAAGTAAGCTTATCAGGAAATCTAAGAGTCTAAACCAACTACCAGGAAAGGGTCTCCTAAGCTCAAATGGCAGCTCCTTACAGAGGCCTGTATAAAGTGGATGCCCACCTCACCTCAAGCAATTATTTTCATGGCATTTGGTTCGTTTTCTTTGTATTACTCATGACAAATTCCAATCAATTCATTTAGTTGATCGCTATCTTTCACAGCCCACAATCCTATAAAACGTCAAGACGACAGAAACCAAACCACTTTGTTCTCCCAGTAATTCTAATGCCTATTATAACAGAGCCTAGCGTACAATAGGTGGACAATTTGTGTGCAATAAATAAAGCCCTGTGGCTGCCTGGTCAGTAGTGAAGCATGTTAGGCTGTGATAAGGACCAGCAAAATGAAGAGAAGATGCTGGTTGCTCTCATTTCCTAGGTCCAACATCCCAAATAGAAAAACAAGTATTCTATATTAGCCAAAAAAACCCACAAAAAACAAAACAAAACAAAAACTAAAAACCTACACTATCATATAAGATAAAAATTAATGTGTGGAGAATCTTGACCATACAGTTAAGAAAAACCCACAATGAGATTAAGAGGTAGAACATAATAAGCCATCTTTAGTAATGAATTTGTCCCTTCTCTGCCATTCCCCTGCACTTTGCTAAGCATCAAAAAGAAAAAACGAAAAACAAAAAATTGATACAGCAAATGGTACAGTTAAGCATGAAGAACACTTGAAAGATCTGAGCACAGAGCATATCAGCTGTCACCGAGAACATGATTCCTCAGCTGTTGCCCTTCTTTCCCCTTACAAGTAACTCTTGTCACACAGTCCTGTAAAAAGGAAGGATCAAGAGAGAAATTTCATTTTGATTCTGATTCTCATATAAAATTACTGTGGATCATAATTTCAGAAAGCCCCTAAATTCTTCTTTCTCCACACATAATTTTAATGCCTAAGTAAGTGATGTATACATTGTGTCCAATAGGACTAATTATTCCAAATGGCCAAAAAGCCTCAGTGCTATAAATTGTCAACCTTTTTAGAGGTTCCTTCTATAATATACCTGATCAAACACAAAGAATTATTGACCAAGTGGGAGTGAATGAGATCTTACACCTCATTTCTTTGAACTTTCAGGGTAAATTATTTTTACTTCTATTTCTCATTTTTTAAAATATATTTTTAGAAAGTTTTAGATTTACAGAAAAGTTGAGAAGAGAGTTTCCGTGGCCCCCATCCCCAGTTTCCGCTATTATTAGCACCCTACTTTAGTATGTTACATTTATCACACCTAATGAACCAACACTGACGCATTATTATTAGCTAAAGTCCATGCTTTACTCAGATTTCCTTAGTTTTTACCTAATGTCCTTTTGTTATTCCAGATCCCATCTAGGACAGCACATTACATTTACTCATCATATTTCCTTAGGCTCCTCTAGGCTGTGAGTCTCTCAGACTTTCTTTGTTTTTGATAAGCTTGACAACTTTTAAAAGTGCTTGTCAGGAATTTTGTAGAATGTCCCTCCATTTGGGTTTGATTGGTGCTTTTGTTATAACTGGACTAGGTTATGGGTTTGGGGGAGGAGCCTGTCTAACGTACCTCAGCCACACATTCAAGGTTAACATCAACAGTAATGTCACGTTGATAGTATGCTCTCTTCATACGATATGAACGGCACTTTACCTTTGTGAGTTCTACTTTTCAAGTAGAAAATTCTATACCAACATATTTTCCTCTGTGAAGTCATAAATCTGTGATATATATCAGGTAACACAAAGAGATTTAGAAATATAGTGAGATGAAGCCATTTTTCCCCTTAATATGAAAAAATGTGTTCCTATTTCAAAATTTTGCCTTAGAACACATAAAACTCTTTTACGTGTAAAACCTGGCATGGTCTTTAAGAAATTTCTGCACATGGAGCAAAGTATTAATATAGGCCACGAGATCAAGTAAGAACATATCCGCCATTCCGTAATTACAGAAAAAAACCTATATATCCTTTGATAATCCAAAGGAAAACAAACCAGTGGACAAATTTTTACTATTTACAAAAATAGTGTTTCTATTATAAAACATAGCATTATCTTTTGAATTCTATTCTACTTATTTAAATTTGAGACAAGGAGGATACTTAGACAAAATATGTTCAGATTCTCATGACTGTCTTGAAATGCAAGAAATGTGTATCAGCAGCTAATTTAGATCATAACTGAGTCCTTGGTGTGGGGCTTCATGGGGGAGGGAGCTTATCAAAAAGCTTCTCCTGCATATATGTGGATCAAATAATACAGTAGAAAAGGCCATCGTGTGAGATAAGGAGACTGATTAACTGTTGGTCAGTTGTGACCTAAGTGAATTATTGCTAATATGAGAGTCTTAATCTCTCTTAGTTGTAATATATGGAGAGGAATAATGACCTTCCCCAAGCTGAAAAATGCTTTTATATCAGACCAAAAGAAAATAGCTAATTAGAATATATAATATGTATATTTATGCATATATATTTATATGTATATATATGTGCTCTTACACATGTAATGTATAAATATGGCTCTTTTAAAAATCCCAAATTAGCTAGTTTTTTTCCTAATTAATAACTACTCATTAATTAAATATCTCACAAGTTAGAAAAACAGAAATGAGGATGGTACCCTGGTTATTTTTATGCTTCTTAATATAAGAGTCTAGTCTAGCAAACTGAGGATGCCAAGGACAGAAAAGGAATGAGTTACTCACCAAAACTTACACCATATTGATAATTGAAGTCCTTTTCTTTATCTCTCTGGCTGCTTAGGTTAATTTAAGAATTTATCTTATCTTCCAAGTATAGATAGAAAATGTAAGTGGTAAGTAAATAATCAGACTTTATGTCACCTAAGAAGTAAAATGGATAAATACCTAAATAGAAAGTTACTTTCCTATCAGCAAAGTAATTTTGCAAGAAGGTAAACCTTGCCGTTATTTCCATTCCATTTGATACTTTTCATTAAATTACAGAAAGAAAATTAAGTTATAGGAAGTAGTTTTAAATTGTTTTGCTTTAGCATACAGTTTACCACAGTTGAAAAGAGAGAAAGAGAGCCAGAGAAGGGAAGCCACTTTAAGACTTGATGGGTTTTCCTTACACGTGATTATTTTTAAACACCACTACCTCTTTGCTGACCAACATTTTCTTGCAAGTTATGGCAAGGAGGGAGGAGCATGAGCAGAGGAGCTGGATGAAAGTTGGTAATACTCGCTGCCAAAATTCCAAGTTGAAATCAAATCCTTCAGTAATGTCTCCTAGGCATGAAGGTTGGGGAGCGGGGGAGATTTACAACTTCAGCAGAACTGTAATTCTACCAAGAAAAAGTATCAATCTATTTTCCTGTCACCAAAGCAAGTCGCTCAAGCTGACTTTGTCATACTTATTTCCCTTTGTATATGGAGGTGACAAAGGAAAAAAAAAAAGCAAGAAGAGTTAAAAAAAA